CTGATTTCGAAATTGATATTTAATTTTAAAAAATCAAAATGGCGGATCCAATATGGCGGAAGACTTCTTCAAAAATTTTTAAATTTTTATGAAGCTTGGTATTTACTCTATATGTATTTGGCAGATTTCAATGAAATTTGGTAATTAGGGATTTTCGTCGTCACTGAATTGGAATATTAAATTAAATTTCCAAAATTCAAAATGGCGGATCCAATATGGCGGACGATTTATTAAAAAATGTATAGATTGTTATGAAGCTTGGTATCCAGAGCTTTTCGTCGTCACTGATTAAATTGATATTTAATTTTAAAATATCAAAATGGAGGATCCAAAATGGCGGACGATTTCCTCAAAAATTCATAGATTGTTATGAAACTTGGTATCCAGAGATCTTCGTCGTCACTGATTTCGAAATTGATATTATATTTTCACAAATTCAAAATGGCGGATCAAATATGGCGTCCCGAACAATAGGCGTTTTACTTTTAACGCAATGCATTACCTTTAGCACAATTTGAACCCATTTTGAATTTTGAAAATATAATTTCAATTTCGTAATCAAGGATAACGAGGATCTCTGAATACTAAGTTTCATAACAAACTATAATTTAAAAAAAAGTGGTCCGCCATATTGGATCCGCTATTTTGATTTTTGAAAATTTAATATCAATTTCGAAACCAGTGACGAGGAAAATCTCTGGATACCAAGCTTCATAACAATCTATACATTTTTTAAGATATATTCCGCCATATTGTATTCGCGATTTTGAATTTTGAAAATTTTATATCAATTTCGAAATCATTGACAACAAAAACCTCTGGATACCAAATTTCATTGAAATCTGTCAAATACATATGGAGTAAACATTTTTGTGCTCCTATATTCTCGATTTGTCCCAATAAACGACTTAAGAAAAGATGCCCTATTTAATGAAGGGGCAAAGGGGGGGACGAGTTCGTGATATTTTTACATTGGCAATTTGTTGGGTTCTCGAACTGTTGAAGAGAAATTGCTGTACTCGGTGGAACTTTTTTTATATCTCTAACTAATATAAAAATTTTAATATTTTTTCAATAAAAAAAGGCAATTTATAAAATAGGTATTATACCCACTTTACAAACAATTATATTATTAACAAAAATCGCAAAATAAAGTACATACCTCACGCCTCACTTTTCACTATTAGTTGTTAATAAGAATAAAATGAGAAGCGAAATTATTTTATCATCGCTTCAAACAAAAAATTATTTAATTCGACGCACGATAGAAAACCCAACTTTGCGCTTCTGCTAAAGCTGCTGCGTTGCGTTGAAAGTCAAAGTTTGTGTGTTACATTGTTAACTGGTTTATAAGGAGTATTAGAAAGGTATGTGTGATAAGATTTAAAGACTTTTGTTTTTCTATTTTTGTCGTCGTAATTAGTCACTTTGTCCTTATGTGCGACGGCGAGTACCGCAGACGATGGAACGATAAGCTGTATGAGTTTTACAACGACATGGACATAGTGCAGCGAATTAAAATACAGCGGCTCCGCTGGCTTGGCCATGTTGTTCGAATAGACACCACGCTCCAGCTCTGAAAGTATTCAACTAGGAAACCGCTGGTTGTAGCAGAGGTAGAGGGAGGCCCCTCTGAGATGGGAAGACCAGGTGGAGAATGACTTGGCTTCACTTTTCATTTCCAATTGGCGTCAGTTGGCACAGAAAAGAAAGGACTAGCGTGATCTGCTGAACTCGGCCAAAATCGCTTAGGCGGTTACAGCGCCAAATAAGAAGAAGAAGAAATATTAAAATGTAAACATCATGCTTCATATCAAAGTGGATAAAACCATTTTTCGCAGGGGTAGGTAAATTTACATTGTTATTAATGCTGTTATTTTTGCTTAAATAGTTTTAAACCATCATATAGTAATAATTTCTCAAATTCTATTAGTTAATAATGTTTGTCCAGCTAAATCGTCACTTTTGCTTTCTATGCGGCGAATGATTTCCCATTTAATAGCATATTTCCCAATACATCCCAAAAATCATGCAATCTGCCAAATATATAACTCTACATTACCTTATCTTTCTTATCTTGCCGGGCGTATGGAAAGCATGGAATAACTGCAGTCACTCTTGAAGCTGATGCGATTTTACATGCGTTAATCATTATTAAAAGTTCCATCAAGTTGTCGTTAATTTCTCCAGAGCCAGACTGCACAATGTATACATCTTCGCCTCGAACAGACTCGCCGATCTCAACGCTAATTAAATAAAGAGGAGACGACGAATTTTAGTTTTTTATAGCTTCTCTTGAAAAGTCTTAATGCCTAAAGATTATACAGTTTTTTTTCATATCACCGTGCGACAAAAACATAAACAAAAAATCAAAACACACGAAGCAATATACCTACTCACGAAACTATGGGCCAAATATGGTAAAAATACGTTTCTAGTTTTTCACTCTGACCAGCAGTGAGTCCTGTGGAACAAGCTAGGTGGATAATATTCATTCAAGGATTTCTCGAAAAGGGTCACTTATTAACACAAAGGATATCCGCAAAGATCAGGCTGAAAAGTTTTTTTATGTCCTACATCAGCTGTGGGGTGTGGCAGTGTTCAGAAATAAATTTATAATTTTACGAAACTTTGTTTTTTGTTATTTTATGGCCTTATAACAATTATATTCAACAATTTTTATTGAGCTCGAGGCCGTTTTTTAATGAAAATTTATTGTGGAAAAGCAACAGTAATTTGAAAAAATGGTAGAAGTGATAGCTATTTCGGAAATCACCACATTTCCTCATCAGACTTCTTTCAGTAGGATTCGAACCGACGATCCCACTGACTCAGCCAGTTGCCTATGCACTGTGCTAAGTTCGCCTGGTTAATTCTTGTTGCTTATTTCCACTGTTTCACATGCTAAGTCAACTACAATCAAGCGGAGCTATTCCGCTGCAATTCACTTGATCATGTGGTTGTTGGTTTTGCTGGTTTTTTTAATATTTCTATTATTAGAATGTTTAACTTTTTAGGTGTGCTCGTCCTTAAGTTATTTGTTTTTTGTTATTTTATGGCCTTATAACAATTATATTCAACAATTCTTATTGAGCTCGAGGCCGTTTTTTAATGAAAATTTATTGTGGAAAAGCAACAATAATTTTAAAAAATGGTAGAAGTGATAGCTATTTCGGAAATCACCACATTTCCTCATCAGACTTCTTTCAGTAGGATTCGAACCGACGATCCCACTGACTCAGCCAGTTGCCTATGCACTGTGCTAAGTTCGCCTTGTTAATTCTGTTGCTTATTTCCACTATTTCACATGCTAAGCCAACTACAATCAAGCGCAGCTATTCCGCTGCAATTCACTTGATCATGTGGTTGTTGGTTTTTGTTAATATTTCTATTATTAGAACGTTTAACTTTTTAGGTGTGCTCGTCCTTAAGTTATTTGTTTTTTGTTATTTTATGGCCTTATAACAATTTTTGATAAATGGGTTTCGAAAATTTTAAAAAATTTATATATGGGTCTAAAGTTGTACCAGCAAAGACAACTCGTGTCAGTATTTGGTTCAAACTCCACCACGTTGTTGCTATGGTTACTGGTAACCAATGTGTAAAAGAATTTTTTTTCTACCCTTGTTTTTTGTCGAGTTATACGAGTTTAAACATGCAAATTTCAGCCCTTTTTCTTAGAGTCACAAGTTTTCTCGAAACTCTTATCTCATATTAAACGTAAGGGAGAATCGAAAACTGCTGATCTTTAGAACTTTTTCCGTTCTTTTTGGTGGAAAGTATAATTTTTTGCAGCAAATTTTTTTTTGCAAAATAAAGTATTGCATTTTTCAAACAATGTACCTTTTCCCCTAAATGGCTTATTTCGATAGCTTACTTTCTAAGCTTTCCAACGATATATAATAGGGGTATTCTCCAAATCTTGCAAAGCCATTGCACGTAGCGCGGATTGCATAACTAGCAAACACACAACAACAAAATACATGGGAAACAACATTTCCTATCGCTGCAAAATATGCAACGTCGAAACCCATGTATATATTTTGCAAAATAGCATAGCAAGATAAATGCCCCCCTATGCTAGTTGTTTTGTTGTTGGAATTGGTACATATTTCTCTCATCCTCTCATCCCGCTCAATTCATTTTTTTTTTTTGCTGTCTCTTGTAATTGTATTTGATACATAATTTCGCTGCTTGCTACCCATGCATGCTACCACTTTGCAATGGGGTGCTCTCGTACTCTTCCTAATTTGGAATAGCATTTTTGCATTTCGTGCAATCCGTGCATCGTGCAAGACTTCGAGAATACGCCTTATTTGTATTGGGCGTTGCAAAAGGACTACAAGTTTTTCGTCATAGAACGCACTCGGGTCCGCCTTTCATTTTTGTCGGCAATAACACAAGTTTACAGATACGAAAAAAATTGTCCGACCTGGGACATGTTTACATGCATCCTAATGTAAAATTTTCCGGTGAATCCGAATACGAAATGAAAATGTAAGAGAGTAAAGTGCCTCACTTAATTGCAATTTTCTTTGGATATAGTTGGTCAATCTTAAATTTCTTGTTGTATTAATTAGTAAAAGCTGTCAAATTTGCTATCAGCTATACGTTGATTTATCGGCAAGTTTTTATAACTTTAACAAAAGTTTCAAAAAAATGTTCTTTCACTACGCACGTGTGTATAGCTCCTGTATAGCTCTTGAATTTCTTATCTAGTTGGATAATCTTGTTGGAGCAGTTGATAGCAAATGTAACAGCCTTAACTAATCATTTAAGATTGGCCAACTACATACAAAGAAAATTGCAATTAAGTGAGTGCACTTTTTTCAGATCCCAAAAACCCGAAATTTATTTATTTATTTATTTATTATTATTATTGTCAACAAACAGGACGCTTACAGACTATATGACAAATATATACATAGAATAAGGGAAACCCTTATGACAAGTGCCTTATGAGTAAATTCTTAAAAGTAAACCTTGAGTAAGAAAAATCGAACTCTAAAGATGAAGAATAAGCATTAAATTGGGAGAAAGTCCTCCTTAAAGGAGCATTCATACCATTAACAGTTTTAACAACACCCACAAAAAACAATTCATTACAACGAAGAATATGTGAGGGAACATTAAAACGAATTTTCACAATTATGTCAAAGACAAAGCACATCGATAACAAAGTACGCCTGGACTCTAAGGACATGCGATTTATCAACAAACAACGAGAACGATAGGACAGAAAAGGGTCTACAAATTTCAACGGACGCAAAGCAAAGCGTATAAAAGCCCTCTGAACAGACTCCAATCTGTTCACATGAACTGTATGAAAAGGTCTCCAAACAAATACAGCGTATTCTAACCTCGACCGAACTAAAGACGAATACAACAGTTTGAGAGTATAAGGATCGGAAAATGACGAGCAGTTGCGACGAATAAAGGCCAACATCGCGAATGATTTAGAAACAATAAAGTTTATGTGGGTGGTGAAGGTGAGCTTGGAGTCAAAATAAACACCCAAGTCTTTAAAATCAGTAATTGATTTTAGCGGGACATTCGAAAAACAGTAATAGGTTGGAACAATACTAATCACTTTTGCAAAAGAGGTATAATGACATTTACCAATTTTGAGGGACAAACGATTACGCGCACACCAACAGTACAAATTATCAAGCTCACCCTGGAGAATCAATGAGTCGTCTATATTTTTAATTTCATAGTATATCTTCAGGTCATCCGCATATAGAAGAAACTTACACTTTGAGAAACAGGAAGATATATCATTAATAAAGATAACAAATAATAACGGACCTAAGACACTACTCTGGGGAACACCAGAGGAGGAGACAAAAGAATAAGACGATACATTATCAAAACGAACAACACAGCGTCTGTTATACAGATAGGATGTGATCCACTTCAGAAACTCTGAATGAAAGCCCAGGCCTTCAAGTTTAGCTATCAATATTCGATGAGGCACCCTGTCAAAAGCCTTAGAGAAATCGGTATATATAGCGTCAATTTGGAATCCCTTTTAAAAGGTTTCCAAACAGTCCTCTGTAAAAGCAGCTAAATTGGTTAACGTAGATCTGCCCGGCACGAACCCATGTTGGTTGGGACATAATAAATGTTTAACAGCGAAGTAAATTTTAAACTATAGACTTAAACAGTTTTGAGACAGTGGTAAGCTTAGAAATCGGCCTATAATTATCAATACAATTTTTATTACCACTTTTAAGAATTGGCGTAATAAAAGTCAATTTCCAGTCATCGAGGAAAACTCCGGCAGATAGAGACATGTTAAAAATGTGTCTCAAAGGCGCAATTAGTGAAGGACAACTTTTAAATAAAATGACCGAGAGGCCATCTACATCAGTGTTAGTGGATAGTTTAAGCTGGTTAATGCCATTAGCTACATCCTCGTCTGTCAACTTTAATTTCCCGAAGTTAATGGGAGTATCTAAACTTGACAAAAGATCTTCAGGAATAAAATCATTATCAGAATTACCTGAAATAAAGTTGGAAGAAAAAAAATCAGCAAAAAGATTAACAGCTTTGGAGATGGAGTTGGCTGACACCCCGTTAAGCTGGACCGATGCAGGTATATTAGAGCAATTTTTCTTTGATTTAATATAACTCCAGAAGAACTTGGGATTAGATTTAATATTGCCTTCTACGCCGCGAATATAATTCCTATACAAAGATTTATTGAGCCTGTTAAATTCAGCTCTATAAAACACGTAACGCTCACGCAAATTAACATCGTTGGAATGCTTTTGTCTTTTGTAGAACTTATTCTTCTTATTCCTTATACGTTTGAGTTCTTTAGTAAACCATGGACGCTTAGCGGTTTTCGAATTAAGAATTGGGATGTGACCCACACAAATATCACAAAGTTTAGACTTAAAAATATCGTAGCAACCAGTTACATCCACATTTCCAAAGAGCTGGGACCAATCCAAATCAAACAAATTATTCAATTCAGCAAAATTACAACAAGAGTAGTTAAAAGCAAGCGTCTGACTAGCAGCCGGTAATTCAAAATATTGGTAAAATTCAAACTCCAAAACCATAGGGCTATGATGCTGAGTTGGAGGGGAGATGTAACTGGCAGCATGAGAGAGCTTGAAATTTATATTAGAGCTAATAAATATTAAATCTAAAATTCGGTTTAACTCATTAAAAAACCATTGATTTGAAATAATTCAATACATAATAAATTATCAATTAAATATGATAAAGTAGTAAC